CCTCAGACGACATGTCCATCCTGGGCCTCCTGCAGTGCCACAACGATGCCACCCGAAGGTTGCAGGAACAGCAACTCATATTCCGCTTGGGAACCCTGCAGCCCAATGGTATCAATGTGGATTTCACAAGTTTCAAAATCTCCCCTCCCCCTACCGCATCCCAAAACCAGTCCAGCTCATCCCTGCCTCCCTAACCTGTTCTTCCTCCCACCTATCCCCTCCTCCCACCTCAAGCCGCACCTCCATCTCCTACCGACCAACCTCATCCCGCCCCCTTGACCTGTCCGTCCTCCCTGGACTGACCTATCCCCTCCCTAACTCCCCACTTACACTCACCTTTACTGGCCCCATCCCCGCCTCTTCGACCTGTTTGTTTCCTCTCCACCTATCCTCTCCTCTATCCATCTTCTATCCGCCTCCCACTCTCTCCCTATTTATTTTAGAACCCTCTTCCCCTCCCCCTTTTCTGATGAAGGGTCTAGGCCCGAAACGTCAGCCTCTCTGCTCCTATGATGCTGCTTGGCCTGCTGTGTTCATCCAGCCCTGCACCTTGTTGTCTCTCATCTATACAAGGGATACAGGTACTTCCAAGATATGATCATCAGGACTAATCTGACCTGATTACTTCCACACCCACACCTACAACAGTGTAGATTGGGGCATTGACATTCTCTGGTCAGCAGCCCCAAAATGTAACCCCAAAAGTTGCACAGCTCCAAACATAGCTGTGTTAACCACTACCCCAGTGTTAGCCTCACGTAATTATGCCATGCCATTTAAGGTGGCTATCGATGTGAGTGATGTGAGTGTCAGTGCTGCACTCTTATAAGACGATGACAAGAAGATAGAAAGGCCTATTGGATATTTTTCCAGAAAATTGAATGATCATCGGTGGAAATATTCCATGATTGCGAAGGAAATGAGTTTGGTGTTGGCACTACAACAATTCAACATTTATATTGCCGGCAATGTGTCTGAGACAATTGTATACATTGACCATCAAACATGAAAGTTTTTGGAGAAATTTAAGGACAAAAATTCCAGACTGTTTAGATGGAGATTATTATTGCAGCCATTCAATTTGAAAATTATACATGTGGCAGGATGAGAGAATGCAATTGCCGACACATTGTTACAGCTTGGATGAAGACAGATGGAGGCATTCGGTGGTGGGAGTTAACAGACTGAAACAGAATGTAGCAGGAAATGTTTGCATGCTCAGAGTCAATGTAATATACATGTATTGTAGTGTACGAATAAAATTAATGGCTTTTAAAAATGAAGCCATCTTTATACATTGATAGTGAGGTGTGGTGATGCTGTGACTTTAAGAGGTTATTTTATCATTTTTTTGGAGAGAGGTTGTAAGGCAGAGGTACCAAGCAGTTTACCAAAAACTTGTGAGGACCTAGGGTTTTTTTTTTAAAAGTTGGAACACTGGGGGGACCCTGGATGTGTGTGGCCAGCACTCACAGACCAGGATATTTCTAGTTTTCTCTGGTTTTTAGGTTTAGCTTTAAGCAGTTCCTGTTGTGAGCTCAAAGAGGTAGAAGCTATCTTTAAGTAGAAGCTACTTTTTCCCTCTCTCGGTTACAGCTAGAAGCCGGGGCTTCTGTCTGCTGCAGCGTTACCTGTGAGGCAAATCTATTTTTCTGAATGTTCATTTTCACCAAGATATGTGTTTATGAGAAGTTACTATATTGGAACAGTTAATTAGTAATAGCTACTGTATCTATTATTTGCATCTGGACGCAGACACTTTACATTTGCCTTAAAAATAATGAAAAGTTCGGATCTACGAGGAGGTCTGGTCTGGTCCATTATACTAGCTGTTGCTACCCACTAAAGGCATGCCAGGAAATGCCAAAGTTTATGAAGTTTAAAAATCGCTCAGTTCAGTCATTATGATAAAGCAGCAGCATCATTTGGTAAATGTAGAATCCACAACAAAGACTGGTCTGAGACCTATTCAGCAAAGATGACAATGTCATCGAAGCAAATATTTCCTCCTTATTCACAACATAAGCCCATCACTGAGAACACTTCAAGACTTGCAAATAGATAATATGAAATATAGGGAGAGTCTGCACAAATAAACACTAGATCAATCTGTGTTGAGAAATCCCACCTGCCTGTGAAAACGTAGACCAAGTGCATTATATGAATGATGAAAAGAAGAAGTGCTTGGTCCTTTCATTACAAATTTCCCCCTATTTTCTCATTCATCTGGATATGCACATCTCTGGCCAACATTGTTTGTCCATTCCTAATTGCCCTGGAGAAGGTGGTGGTGAGCTGCCTTCTTGAACTGCTGCAGTTCATATGATGAAGGACTGTTAAGGAGTTCCAGAATTATAACCTAGACAGGCAATGTATTTCTAAGTCAGGATGGTCAGTGACTTGGAGGGAAACTTGTAGGTGGTAGTCCCATGTATCTGCTGCTCTTTTCCTGCTAGATAGTAATGGTCGTCATTGGGAAGGTTTGTTAAATGAGCCATGGTGAGTTGTTGCATTGCATTGTGTAGATGTTGCACACAGCTGCTCCTGTGTATTTATGGTGATGAAGGTCTTAGATGACATGCCATTCAAGCAGACTGCTTTGTCTTGGATTGACTTTAGCTTCTTGGATGCTATTGGAGATAGACCATCCAGCAGGTGGAGAGTATGCCATCATAATCCTGGACTTGCAGATAATGGACAAGGTTTGAGCAGTCGGGAGCATTGCTTCCTTAGCTGTGGAGCCGTCCACACATGGCAAATGGCTTACAAAGACGATTTTTAGCATTGACTTCTGGTTCTGGAAGTTGCTGCCATGCATGGTCCTTGAAGGTAAATGAAGCCAAAAATAAAATTAGCAGGAATGCTGGTCATAAAATGAGTTATTTTCCATAGGATTTCCAGCCTCGGACCTGTGTTTGGAGCCACAGTATTTATACGGCTGGTCCAGTTCAGCTTCTGGTCAATGGTAACACCCAGGATGTTGATAGTAGGATATTCAGTGAAGGTTGTGCCATTGAATGTCAGGGGACAATCACAGGATTCTCCTTTGTTGGAGATGATCATTTCCTGGCACTTGTGTGGTGCAAATATTACTTGCCACTTATCAGCAGATCCTTGACCATTGTTCAAGTTTTGCTACCTGTAGTGATTGGAATGTGGGCCAGGTACATATCTTTGAATATGAGATCCTTGATTGGCTGAGGTTAACAACCACAATCAGAGATCTCATATTCGATTAGACCCACCAGACCCTAGTTCCAGTCACTGTACCAACTTTGAACACTTCATTATTAGCATAATCATAAATGGTGCTGAACATTGTGCAATTTTTAGTACATGACCTCACATCTGACGTTATTATGGCGGGAAGATCATTAATCATGCAGGTGAAAATGGTTGGGTTTAAGATATTGCGGTGAGGAACTTGGACAAATACGCACTGGTGCTGAAATGACGTATTGTCTAGGCACAAGCGCTAGGACCCAGGGAATCGTGTTTTATTTGTGGTGTCGGTGGCCGTTAGGACCCGGGGAATCGTGTTTGTGTGGTATCGGAAGATGTTCGGACCCGGGACGGTGGTTGTCGGAGAGACAGGGGTGAGGTCCTGGGGAAGAGTTGGTGTGTATGTGGGAGAGGCGGGCGCTAGGACCTGAAGGGGCGGGTCTCTGTGTGGGAATGAGGTTGTTTACCAAAGTGGAAGATGGAGCAGAGAGAGGCTGTGAGTTTGGGAAAAGCTGGGAGGCTGCTGGGGGCTGTCAGGGTCTGCTCCCTGATTATGTCTATCCATTTCCTGGGAGACACTGCAACTGCACAAAGAACAGGTAAATCCCGTGTGTCGGGGGGGGGG